TAAATAAATTAATTAAATAATATAAAATAATATGCTTTAGACAGATATAGGATACGCATAATCATCTCATACCAAACAACGCGATTTCAAAATTGACTCAGATCCAAAAATTCTATCCAATATTTCATATAAATAAATATTAAATAAAATGCTTTAAACAGAAATTGGATAAGGAATTTTGAATTTGTCTTTTTTTTTTTTTAAATAAATAGGCTTTACGTACATTTTTTTACTCCACTGATTATGGGATTTGTTTTGACTAAATCGATGTTATTATGGAATAAGACAAATAAATAAAGTCTTAATTATTATTTTAGTAAAAATACGTACTTTTTTTTTATTTATAGGATGTTATGGGATTTTTTTAAGCCGGTTTTTATTTTAGTAAATTTTTTAAAGAATAACTAATATAATTTTAATATCTAACAATCAATAAAATCATTTAATGATATGATAATTATCTTTTAAATGATAAATAATATTATTTTTTAAAAAAATATTAGTTTTATATAATTAAATAAAGGTTAAAAAATATTACTCGACAAATATTAATTATAATGGATATCAGTAAAATCATTGCATAAATTATTTAAAGAAAAAATCTTTAAGATCATATCTGGATAGTAAATATAAATATACAAGCATTTAATGCATATAGTATAAAATTTCCAAATAAGATATGCATTAAATGTGTGTTGACTTTTCTTGTTACTATTTTTGGTAAATAGGTTGGCTTTTAATATATATATAGATATAGATGACATTTATCACTTAATACTATAAATCTATAATAATAGTTTTTAAATTTTATTACATAATAATTTTTTAAGTCGAATTATATAACAATTTAATACATAAAATATATTTAATTGATAATACTTTTAGTATTTGTTAAAAAATATAAATTAATTTTTTTATAAAGGTAACTATACATAATTATTTATATATGCAACATAGATGTCAAATTGAAACTCGTTATAAGACAATAAATTTGAATAATCATATATGAAAATATGGTAACAAATATGAAAGTTACTAACTTTTAATATATATTTATAGTTTCAGTTGGCCAAAACGTCACGTATTTTATAATCCTAAAATTTCTAAGATAGAAGTACAGATCTACTTGTAGTACTCCAAACCGAACACTTTACGAATCAACAGCGACACATAGAATTAAGAAGCATCAGAAACCAACATATAGGATGAAGACATTTTGCATAAATATATAGAGTATTGATTAGATATATTATGTATGAAAAAAATAAAAAAAAATTATCATAATTTAAAACATATTATAATTTAAATTGATTAACTTTTCATAATTTAAGAAGTACATCATCTAATATATAGAGTTAAGAAGTATAAATTGAAAAATAAAATTACAAAACATTAAAATTAATATTTAATCTAAAAAAAAAAA